CAAATGTGAAAACATCCCTGAGTAAGCTAGCCATATCATTGAAAATAATACATCCAAACAAAATGAAGTCAAAATCTGTCATTACTACTGAAGGAGAAAGTCTGAGAGCTGAGACTGATCACAGTATGTTCTGCTAGTACATTAATTACACATCTTTCTGTTTCATATCTGAGGCACAAAGTTTTACTGTCTATTAGCTTAGCTCACATTAGCTAAATTAACTAGCTAGCTAGCATGCACTCAATACAGAACATCAGCAGCAGCTTTAGGTTTAGCACTAACATGTGCTTATAATTCTGAAACAACATGGTAAAACAGAAATTGTACACGAAGACCATACCTACTTAGCTCAGATTAGTTAGCAAGTTAGCTAACTGTGTCTCTATATTAGTGCTGCCGCCTGAATAAAACCTTAAATCTGAATCAAAAGACTGCTCTTCTTTACCAGCGCGCGCAAAAACCTCACGGGCACTCAACGGAAACACCAAAGCTATCATAATAAGAGTGCTGTGCTACTCTACTGTTAAATGTAAGTTTATTTAATTCAAAAGAACTCTAAAATGTTTATTATTGTAAATGTCAGATTCTCTATATATTTATACTACTACTACTACTACTAAAAAAAACAACAGGAATGATGAGAACAAGACAAGATTGAGACTGAGACAAGATTTTTCAGAATTTAAAAATAAAAAGAAAGAAGAGAAAAACCACTAAAAGGTTCCTGATCATTCATTATACATTATATATAGATGCATATTATATTTATAACATATTTTGTAAAACTAAACATTAAATAATGTATAGACTGAAAATATTGTGAAATATTATTATATAATAATATTAGTCCAATTCTGCATTATACCTTGAATGGTAGATTATTCCCTGTCCCTTCTTCTCTAAAATCTATTTGGAATCACTACCTAAGGTCAACAAAATATAAACCAAACAACATACGTCCACTTTTATTATTAAATGAAAACATTCTGATCTGCCCAGTTAAACTGTCATGGAAAGATCAATTAGACTTTATTTAAAAATAAAATATAAAATAAAGGGTCCTAAAGTTACATTATCTGTGGGACAAGTGTCAGATGGTCTACAAAAAATGTAGGCAAAAATGTTTTTTTCATCCAAGTACTTCAAATATGCAACCATTTAAGTGCATCTTGGTCAGTGCTTATTAGCAAGTCTTCTATCACCACAATCCACTACCACTACTACCACTGATAATAATAATAATAATAATAATAATAATAATAATAATAATAATTATTATTATTATCATTGTTGTTGTTGTTGTTGTTGTTGTTGTTATTGTTATTGTTATTGTTGTTGTTGTTTTGTTGTTGTTGTTATTGTTATCATTTATTATTACTGTAGTAGTATATATACATAGAGGTTTTGACATTTAAAATAATAAACATTTTAGAGGTCTGTTGAATTAAATAAACTTACGTTTAACAGTAGAATTGCATAGGACTCTTATTATGATAGCTTTGGTGTTTCTGTTGAGTGCCCATGAGGTTTTTGCAAGTGCTGGTAAAGGAGAGCAGTTAATCCTGTGTTCTCAGTGGATTAATTCTGTTCATATTTTAGTTCTAACTTGCTGTATCTCCTGATGTATGATGAGTGAATCAGACTCATGGCAGACCCCCGAGCCGCTAATGTGAGACTTTTGATTCAGATTTAAGGTTTTATTCAGACGGCAGTACTAACGTAGAGACACATTTAGCTGACTTGCTAACTAATCTGAGCTAAGTAGGTACAGTCTTCGTGTACAAAGTCTGTTTTACCATGTTATTTCAGAATTATAAGCACGTTAGTGCTTTATTAAACCTAAAGCTGCTGCTGATGTTCTGTATTGAGTGCATGCTAGCTAACTTTAATTTAGCTAACGTGAGCTACACTAATAGGCAGTTAAACATTGTGCCTCAGATATGAAACAGAAAGATGTGTAATTAATGTACTAGCAGAACAGTCTCAGCTCTCAGACTTTCTCCTTCAGTAGTAATGACAGATTTTGACTTCATTTTGTTTGGATGTATTATTTTCAATGATATAGCTAGCTTACTCAGGGATGTTTTCACATTTGGACTGTTCACAAATTAAAAAGGACTCAATAAACAACTTATTTACTCTTACTTTTTTCAAAATGTCTTTTAATATTTTTTGTACTACAGTACATTGTTTCTTTAGGGGTTTTTATTTCTAATGTATTTCAATTTATAATACTGTTCCTGATTATCACCAACTCCTAGTTCATTAATGGTGATTTACCATGTGTTTCACTTTATAATACTGTTCCTGATCATGATTAACTCCTAGTTCATTAATAGTGAGTTACCATGTGTTTCACTTTATAATACTGTTCCTGATCATCATTAACTCCAAGTTCATTAACATTGAGTTACCGTATGTTTCACTTTATAATGTTGTTCCTGATCATCATTAACTCCTAGTTGATTAATGATGAGTTACCATGTGTTTCACTTTATAATACTGTTCCTGAGCATGATTAACTCTTAGTTCATTAATAGCGAGTTACCATGTGTTTCACTACTTCTACTACTGTTCAGAAGAAACACTGGCACACGTGCTCCTGCAGGAAAAAATGGTGTTTTCTTTTCTAAAAATGAGAGGTGAGCAGACTGGTCTATGGAATACTGTAGTATTTTAGCAGTTGTCCCATTTGTAGGCTGATGTCCAAATTGGTTCACACTACCAAATATGAAGATGTCCATTATCCTTTTAAGATTTCTGATAAAAAACAAACACATGAGGGACACCAGTCAGTACAGTGTGGTGTGATGACCCCAGCCTTCTCTGAGGATACCTGTTTCTGTGAATAGAAATGGAGAATATAATCTATTATATTGTAGAGAATGCACACTGTGTAGTGTATTTTACTACTTTTAGAAGTGTTGGAATACACTACATGAGTTAGTAGTTCAGTAGGAACCTTGTCAGACTCAGCTATTGAGCAATTAGTGTTGAATTGATCTGTAATTTGAGTAATTATTCTAAGAAACCATAGTTACAAAGTAATTCTCTATGAGACTCAGTAGTTATTGTTTAGTTAATAGTGAACTACCCTAATCATTAGTTCACTATTACCTACGAAGTAGTTAACTAGTAGTCCTTGGTAGTTAAGAGTAGTTACTTGAGTGTTAATGCAGCACAACTCATTCGTTCCTGCTTAGTTCCTGATTAGTTACTTATTAACTACGAAACAGTATTGTAAAGTGTTACTGAGTGAGGGAAAGGAGAGAGAAAGAGAAAGGAAGATAGAAAGGAAAGAGAATAGCGTGAGTGGGTGCATGTTGTATCCATGGTTTATTCATTAATCTGTTGAACTCATTTGTTTCTTTCCTTTTTGTTCTTTCTTTTTCATTCATCCGTTGTTTTCTAATTTGACTGATTAGCATCGTCACTAGGCTACCTCTGCACACATACACACACAGCACTTCTACGACCCTTTACTAATCCAGTACATCACAGTGAGAGAGAAAGAGAGAGAGAGAGAGAGGTAAAAGAAGTAAATCCCTCCAGCACTTCCTCAGTCTTGCTAAAAGTAAGTGTCTCGTGCCTGTAGGTCGTTTTACAGTGCTGTGATGAGGAGTGGAGGGATTATTGTCTTTCCTCTGCTTTTCTTCCTGGCTTATTTCAGCCTTTCTGTTGTTCTAAGCAACTCTTTAATTTCTGTACCCCTTTTTTTGTGGTGTCGTAAAGAAAGAGAGAAAAAGAGCGAGAGAGGGAGTGAGAGAGAGAAATTAGTGCAAAGTCCCTGAGCTCCTGTGATTATTCCCCCACTGGACACAAAGACAAGTGTTTTTTTAGACTTCAATCAGTGAGTGATCGAGTGTTAGTGGATAACAGTGTGGTTTCACTCACATCACACAGATCTGCTTAACTTTTAAAGTGACTGATGAAAATGAAACTCTATGCTATGGTATTAGGATCGTTTCTGTGGTTTTGAGAGCATGTAGCAGAGCTACAGTAATGCAGTATGATCATCCATTTCAGTGGTAATGGACTATATAAGAAATATAAGTATTATTAATACTGAAATGCACTTCAACAGTGAAGAACATAAGCTGAAATATATTTAGATACATTTGTAATCTTATAAATAAATGCCTGCAATAAAGACAAAAAAGTTACAGAAAAGACAAAAAGATGCAGTTACCATCCAGCCCATCCAATACTTAGTTTATCTAGTCAAATCAATTAAACCAAACAACATGTCCATGCACCAAGAAATCAGGAAGCAAGAAAACAAAATATGTGTATTTGTATTTATTCCAATGTTATATACCATTTTTACTGGCAAAAACACACTGACAGCTCAGTTTAAACTATTACTAATATACTATATACTATAACTAAACCTGGCTGCATAGTACTTTTCAGACTTTTCTTACATCATTACTGTCACAACAAAACCTTGTATTTTCAAAAAAGCAAGTTTATAGAAGAACTGGAAAGTGTTCTCAACTTTCAATGTAGGTTAATATAACATGATTTTATTCTTTCTCATTTTAGAGCATTTTAATTGGGCTGTCATTACATTTTGACACAATAAGAGCACCTGCCATTTGCAAATTAGATAAAAAAGGAAAATTACAAAAACAGTGATGATAACTTATCTTAGAGTGAGAGTTTGTGCTTTCAAACCAATAGAATACTTTGGAGAACCTCTTCAAAATAAAGTCAATAGATATGTTGTATGTATTGATGTCACACTGATGGCTTGGTTGTAAAATATTTATCACTGCTTGCTTTTATACTTTTGGATTATTCAATACATTTTGACAATATTCATATATAAGTACTTATCTCCTTTTGAGAATTAGTTCAATGATGTCCTGTAAAATTACTTCCTTATGAGTGGCAAGATGTTGTTGTCCTAGTAAACACAGGTACACCCTGTGGAGTGTGAAGTCTTCTGACCTTAATGCCTCCATCTGCTCCATGTCCTGTTCTGCTTTGATGTTCAGGTTCTTCAGGAGGAGACAGCCATCCCAGGCAGTGACTTGAACCTAGTGTACCTGAGCTCACGGGCCGCTGGCTATCGGCCCGTCCTGAAGGTCACCATGACCCAGGCCACCATTCCCTTCAACCTGATGAAGGTGCACCTGATGGTGGCTGTGGTGGGGCGGCTCTTCCAGAAGTGGTTCCCTGCAGAACCTAACCTGTCATACACCTTCATCTGGGACAAAACGGACGCCTATAACCAGAGGGTCTATGGCCTATCCAAAGCAGTAGGTGAGTCAGGGGCTTATTAGAGTGTTGCAGTTGCCATACATTGAAAAAAAGGAACACACTGAATTTACTTGACTTACATCATTTCCACATCAATGAATATGTATCACATATACATATATTACATAATATATTACATTGACACAGTTATTTCCAAACAAAGAAGCAAAGGAAACAATAGACAGTTGAATCTAGGAAATTCAGCGCATCACTTTTTTTCAGTACACCTTAGGAAATGTAATGGAAAGTCAAAAATATAAGTGCATTAAAGCTGATCTAGGAGTAAACAGTTAGGTGTAAATCCATGCCATATTCTAAATCTATGCTAAAAGCATGCAGGAGGTACTGCATATGGTTGCTATGGAGCAGAGAAAGATCTTTTAATTTTTTCCAGGTTGTCACATACTCTAGTGTCACTGTGTTTCATGGCAGACTAACTTAATATGCACACATAATCTTGGCAGTCCTATGTACATAATGCACTTTGCAGCCTGTAAAAGTAACAGAATATTTGCCACTACATTGCATCACTGGCCTTTGTAGAGCCACATTCCATTAGCAGAGGTTTGGGCGAAACTTTTGACACCAGCACTTTTTTCTTTAATACAGACTCTGTAGACCTTGTACTTTATTTGGCTTTGATAGTGTGTAGTCCCTTGGTGCTGTTGTTTTGTGGTTCACAATTATCTTTAATTCAGAATGACCATCATTATAATAGTGATTAATAGACTTGCATGGAATTTGTCTAAGCATATTGTGTTGGACCATTCTGAAAGGTTTTGCAGTACTAAAGTAAAAAGAAAAACGGTAATGTTTTTTCCTTCTTTTCTTTTCCATTCTGTTTCTTTTTTTCCACAGTTGAACCTTGAACTTGACATTTTAACATTGGTTTTAACAGTGTTTATTTTCTTTGAGCTATTTTGCTGTGCAGTTATCTGTATTTATCAAGTATTGCTAAAATTAGCATTACAGTTTGCAATATTTTTATGGACTTGGATGGATTTTGAATGGATTTTTTTCTCATTTAGGAATGCACTGATTTTGAATTTTTATGTTTAATTGCAATTTCTTTACAGCCAGATTGGTAGATGTGTATTGGCCCGATTCAGCCTTTTTTTTAAACTGAAACTTGCTCTGTTTGGACTACAGGAACACAAAACACACTAGCACATTTCCAGTACTTTCTGTTACCTAAAGTCACCATATAAGTAGTGTTATTTTACTTATTAATGAACCAGACTGTCATTTTTCATTGTTAAAATCAATTGCTTATTTGAATAACTAACATGAATACAATTAAGTGCTACTTTGAAAGCAAGAAGCAATTGACTGTTTAGCACAATGAGCCATGTATAATCACGCTATCCCATTTTAGTGTAGATTGGCAACAGCTGTAATGCAGTTACATACCTTACGTTATTCCTAATCTCCTAAAACTGCAAAATGGCAGCACATTCTGGACTTGCAAATGCAAATTTGAAAACACTAATTAAGTTATTTATTTACAATTGCATTTCACATGTGAGTGTGCATTATTTAAGACATAATTCAAATGCAAAATGTGTATTTGCATTTCAGTGTATAATGGCTAAAAAATTTAACATGGAAATGTGCTTTTGACAGTTCATTTTCATTGTCCTAGGTGAATGATCTGACATTGAAACTGAATAACAGTCACCCGTTTGCAATTGCATTTCCTGATCACAGCACTCCAACTCTCCCAAAATTAAAATGCAATTGCAGCCCTGTTTGAAATTGCATTTTCATTGTCTAGGAGACACTCCTGTCAGTCAAACGCTGTAGGTGGGATGTCAGGGGGGACTTTTAAGTGTGGGTCATGTTTAAGAGGAAGTGATGAAAAAATCTAAACGCAATTGTAAAGACAGTATTTAATTAGCGTTTTCACATTTGTATTTGAATTTGAAAACAGTCTGGGATATGCTGCTATACTGCAACACAGATCATTCAAAATAAAAATAGACTGCCATTTTTAGAGCAAAAATCTCCAAATTCTGATCATGCACCTTGAGTCTTGCATATTGTAAAGCATTTTCTGAAAAGAACATTTTTAGCTGTAGTTTGCCTCAGGAATACTTGCAGTGCTAAAATGCTGGTGAATGATGCTGCATTAAATGAAAGCTTTGCTGAGTTGCTAAGGGAACCCATGGATGGTGTAGAGTTTTTTTTCAGCTGACACGCACAATACACGTGTTGTTTTTGTTACAGAGATAGCGCTGACGTCCGAACCAAGCACGTCCCCAGAAATGCCACTAAATTCTCCACTAAATTGATGCATCCTTCAGATACTTCAAACGCCGTTTGCTATTTGATCCTAATTTGATGCATGTTGTCACAGTGATGAACAACCTCTCAACTCCAATTACTGCAGAACGCTCTAGTAGCCTTACTTAAGGATGCAGCGACTGGTGGGATAATTTAATTACAGTGCTTGTAGAAGACCTTGGCTAAGTCTGAGTTGTGTGTAGTGAAGAAGTGCTTACTTTGGAGATACTCTATGCAAATAGTGGGCTTTGCAAAAGAGAAAATGTTACATTTCTAATTTAGACTGCGTATAGGCTTGCATTTTTTTTTCCCTTTTTTGCCCTCAAGGCGTATCTTGCTGACAGTATTTAATGGCATATATAGTTAGCATACACAGCGTAACCGCAGTAAGGAACACAGCTTTTTCTTTTTCTGTGTGTTTGCAAAGGTCATCTGCGTTTTTGTGGCTTTGTGAGAGTTTTTTTTTTTTTGCCTCAGACGTTTAGAAGACAGGCCTGTAGCTGAAAAGAACAAGCGGTTTGTTTTTTGCAGCCAGAAATGTGGCAGGCCAGACAGAACTAGACACCCCTTATATAAACAAACTAACAAAACATACTTAAAAGGCTTTTTATTTCCTTCAAAATATACACAGCCCTGCATATTTTGGTGTGTTCTCTACCTGAACACACCTAATGCAACTAATCAGCTCATTAATAAACCTCATATCTCTAGTTGAGAGTCACATACAATCTCACAAGAAGATGGAATAAAAAGGACAGACTCTACAGATTCAGAAAATGTTTGAGCCATATTTCTGTGCTGTATCATCTCAAAAATAGAAGAACAGACATAGAAACATTGAATTTGACATACAGGCAAGTTTGTGGACCCCAGAGGGTTAATGGAACAAGAATCTGTGTTTTATGCCCTATCAGCCTATTATTTTAAGTTCAAATGACAAAACGTTTTAAGGCAGCCCGGACACATAAGTTAAAAGCCTCAATTTCTTTTTTTACAATGCACTCCTACTCCTACACAGAGGACCAGTATTTGGAAACACTAGTGTAATGTATTCAACCTAAGTAAGATGTTAAATTAAAAGTAGTGTGTCTTATCCCAACATAATCAATTAGGTTTTTTCCACCTACTCCACAGTCCCGCATTACAGCAGTGATTTTTGCCTGGCATGTTGAAGTGTGCTTATTGATTCTCAGCAGGGTTCACAGGGTCATTTTGTAAACGTGTGCAGACAGATATGAATTTAAAATGATTATTGCTGTCGGTGGATTGGAGCACCGCTGCAGATTGATATCAAATTTAGTCAAAGTTATGAAAAAGTCACTGGAGCAAGGAGCTCTGGTTGAAGTGAAGAGGTAAAAGTGACTCAGAGAAGGGCAAGAGAAATGGATTTCAACATGAAAATCTATATTTTTAGAGATAATTTGTTGTTATCTTTGCAGATATGACTTGATGGCTGCAGAGCTAATAAAATATATTTAAAAAACAGTTACAAAGTGATTTGTCTCTACTTTAAAGTGCAGAAGTGAGTTTCACATTTTTATAATTAGTCAATAAAAGTATTAACTTGATCACTCTTCCTCTATCTGTCTCTCTCTCTCTGTCTGTATAATAAATTATAATTCATTTTAATTATGTAGCACTTTACAAGAAGAGAGGAATTCAAATGCATTTATATATACCTTTATGTAAAGTATATGTACATACTTCACAGTGAGGATGAGGTGTTTTTCTACATGGCTATCTTTGTGTCCGTGGCAAACTCACTTTTCTTGTTTGTTGCCAAAACCTCTATTTTGGTCTTATCTGGCCATAGAACACAGTCACACAGAAAGTTCCAGTACTGTGTGGCAAACTGTAGAAGCTTGAGTTTGTTGTCCTTGACAGCAGAAGCTTTCTTCTGGCAACCCCTCAAACAACTGTAGTTTGGGAGACGCTATGACCCCAAGACCTAACTAATGTCTTAAGATCTTTGAAAATTCTTTGTCCACTCAAACCATCATCCTCACTGTTAATGGGGTCAGTATAGAGATACATGTTCTTCTCAGCAGATTCTTAATATCTCCAGTTGTTTTAAGCTTCTTAATTAATGAATGTCCTGCTAGTGGACATGGGCATTTTCAACTGTGTAGCTATTTTCTTGTTGTCATTTCCTGACTTGTGCAGCTCAACAACCTTTTGTCATACATCACTGCTGTTGTCTGGTCTTTCTCATAACAATGGATGACTCAGGGAATTAAAAATGTAAAATATATATATATATATATATATATATATATATATATATATATATATACAGCCATATGCAAACGTTTGGATGCTCATTCCATTTTTTTTTTTCTAAGTGAAAATAAGTTAATACATGCTCTAAAGAAAGGTCACTTCTGCACATATTAATACAGTGTTACTGTTTATTTGCTGACTGTAACATATTGAGAAAAATAAACATGTAGCCTGTTCAAAAGTTATGGAACATTATATATTTTATGTTTTTTTTCCAATATGTTAAATTTAGCAAGTAAATAGAAATTGTGCACTATAGTTTGCTGAAAATGCCATGTTTTTTGAGGATGTGTGAACTTAGTTTCAGAAAATCAGTAAATGTCATTTGACTGGGGGTGTTCAAGCATTTGCATAGGACTGCATATTATATTACACATAGCGATATAATTATGTATATATTTATTTCTCCCTGCAGTGTCTGTGGGATTTGAGTATGAGTCGTGTTTGGATCTGATCCTTTGGGAGAAAAGAACAGCCATTCTTCAGGGATATGAACTGGATGCCTCTAACATGGGTGGATGGACGCTGGATAAACATCATGTGCTGGACGTTCAGAGCGGTAAGGAAGCAGCGAATCTCTAACCCTGTGTTAACACACACTGATACTGTCCTCATCTTTATTCACCAGTGCAGAGAAAGCTGTTTTAATGTTATATTGTTATTATATTTAGTTTAATAACAGTGCAACATTTTTGTAACCATTTTAAGGCATATTTCATAATTTCTAATACTTTTTACATATGTAGCTACAACGGTTCATTAAAAAGTTAGTAAATGACATTTGCTTTTATGATGCGTAATTTAGTATTTACTGTAAGATTAGCATTTTATACTGAGCAATGTACAAAAAAATACCTTTTTCTATAGACATTAAGAATGTAGTCATCAGGAACAGTGACCATACAAAATAAAGACAAGAAACTTTACAACAAAACATTGCCAGATTAATAGGTAATTATGCTAATATTATAGCAATGTTCATACACGTTTTGTTCCTGTCATAAGAAAACCTTCTAACATCTTCCATTTCTAAACACTAGCTGATCTTTGCTGAACATTTCATGATGAACAGACCAATAGAAAGAAAACTTTTTTGTAAAAAGTTTACCTTATAGTAACAGTTGAACAGTTACAAATGTTATTATTTTCCTATAATGTTTCAATAAGCAGCATATGCAGTTTATAGGAAATGAATACCATATAATATGATTATAGGCACTGTTTATAAGCCACTTTTATAATATGCAATTACATAAATATCAAAAAATAGTGTCGAGGCATTCAGAGTCATTCCAAAGTGTCCTTTCTGTTTTGGAATGAAGGAGATGTGGAATAATACGACTATTTTCTGATGTCTTTAAACGATTTGAATGGAGTGATGTGTGTCGTAGAAAACAAACGGGTGATATGACAGTGTGGATAGGAAGCAGCTGCTGATTGGCTGGCCTGGCTGGACACTGTATGAATAAATAGAGACATGGAGAGGAAGATTATCACGTCTTTGATTGTGAATGAGGAGTGTGAATCCAGAGTAATGAGTGTGAAAAGCACTTTGGATGGAGTCACTGACAGACATGCACACACACACACACACACACACAAAACACACAGACACACACAAACACATACAGACACCCACATCCACACACAAAACACACTCAAAAGTACACAGATGCACAAACACACATATACTGGCATACATGCTATAGATACGCATGTTTACTCGCACACACCCGTAATCAAATGCATACTGGACAGGCATACATACACACACAGAACTATGCCTGTGCCCAGTGACGGTTAACCAAGTTACCATAGTAACAGCCCCCAGTGATAGTCAAAACTCATTTATTGCTGGGTAATAAAAAACAGTGTTCATCTATGGATTTATGTCACGCAACCAATGGCAAGACCATAGCTTGTTTTTCAAATTGTTTAGCTTGAACAAAAAGGTTAGCTTGAACAAAAAGGTTGCAGTCCAAAATATCCTTGAGTAAAGATACTGCCAGAAACAAGAGAAAGTGCTCACACTTAAGTAAAAAGAAATAGTACAGAAATAAGGCATTTCATAAGTGCAATACAAGATTAGTATTCATTTAAGACTTTCACAAAAAGATGGGTCTTCAGTCTGCCTTTGAAGACAATCAGGAACTCTGCTGTTTGGACAGCCAGTGGACGTTCATTCCTGGGTGCCAGGACAGAAAAGAGTCTTGATGAGAAGAGTCTTCCATGTGTCTTGAAGAATTGTAATTTGAACTGAGTCATACCTGAAACTTGAGGGCCTCAAGTTAAGGATCGAGTTTTAATCATTGCCATCAGGTTGGGAGGGGCAGGTCCATTTTTGCCTTTGTAGGCAAGCATGAGGGTTTTAAATCTGATGCTGGCATCTTCAGGATTCCAGTAAAGAGAACACCATCCAAAGCAACCATGGAAGATAAAGTATGTGTAACATTAGCATATCATTCTTTCTTACAAGATTAATTGTAGTTTTGTAGACAAATTAAAGATGACGGTATACTACAATTAAACTATAACTAAACAGTGAAGTTCTTATATGTTCTAATGTGTTCTTTTATTTGACTGTGTTTGCTACCACATCTGCTTCTTACCACAGTTATTTTCCTTGGGGTTATCCAAATGAAAGCCAGTACAAGCCTGCACACACAAACATACATGGACCTGCACGTTTTAATGACATGTTAGCAGCCTATAAAGTGAGCTCCTGTAAGTTCCTCACCTTGGCCGAGACCCCAGCACATATAAATTCACCATCAGCATACACTCACAGCGCATTACATGATCCACTTCAAACTGGAGATACCATCAAAGCCCAAACTATCGTCATCAAGCCAGAAAATATCTCCACCTGCAGTGCTCCCTTTCAGGCCATTTCATACAGAAATATGAGTGTGTGTTTTTGCTGGTGTGAAGGAAAGGCCACCAGGTTTATTGCATCTCCCTGTGGAGAAGGCGACCTGCTGGTGTAAGTAAAGCCCCTTTGGTCCAGCCGTTTTGGGTCTGAAATGACGCTCAGTACCCCTTTACCTCCGAGGCTTAAAACCAGCTGTCCAGAGGAATTCAAAGAGGCTTTAATCTCCCAGAGCCCTGCGCTGCCCTTGACCCCCTCCACCTACAAACCTTCCTTAAGCCTTCCTTACTGAGCTCCTGCTGGCTAAATAAAGAGCCAGCTTTCCTCATGCGGAACCACAATACACACTGGTAGTCCACCTTTCTGATGCGATCCAGGAATTGTATGTGCTTAGTGTGTGGATGGTAGAAAATTGTTGAAAAAGCTGAAATTGACGTTCCTAGGGAACTCATTACAGTAATTCCAGTAGTACTTCGAGGCAGTTCTCCTTACAGCCTGTAGGAGCATTCTGAGGGGGTTGCCGATGGTACACAGTTGTTTGGTCCCACTGCTAAGGAGGCATGTGTATGGGAGCATTTCAGTCCCAGTCCCAGCACACTTTACATACGGAAATGTTCTGACTGCAGCTTATCGGTGCAAGCCAGTGCAGTGCTCCAGTTTCTACAGGACCTGCTGGATAAAGGCTATTCCCAATCCATGCTTAAAGTTTACATGGCTGCCATTTTGGCTTATGATGAGTATGTGGGTGGATTATCCATAGGTGGACAAATTTTTTTGCTGTGCCTCCTTGGAGCCACATGGCGCCTTCACCCCCTGCGGTCACCCAGGAGCCAGCCATGGGTTTTGTCCTTGGCATTATACTTTCTTCACAGTACACCCTTCAAGTCGCTGACACAAGCACACTTTAAGTGGATTTCATCTAAGACTGCTTCCTGCTGGAGATTACCTCAGTTAAACTTGTTGAGAGAGCCGTACAAAGTCTCTGTGTAGCCAGTATGCTTGCATTGGAATCCAGATGTTTCTATGGCCAATACGGCATTAGCCCCTGAGGCTTTATTTTCTCTATATATAAATCAGTTTATTGAGTTGGCTTCCTTCACTGAGCAGAATGTGCAGTGCTTAATACTCCGTGTAGTGACTTAGCTAGTTTGGATTTGCTCCTTATTTCAAAAGTAGTGCACAAGCCTTTTTTGTAGGGTTATTTAAATTCTCAATGATAAATCTTTTAGTCATTCCATAGTCGTTCTCCTGCTAGTTTACTGTTTTGCAGATGCCATATAGTGAATGAGTTGAGGCTTAAACGATTCCCAACACGGAGGGCCTGATGTTCATAAATCGGACACATTCATATTAATTATGCATATGCCATGAGAAGAGATCTCTAAGAAAATGGTAAGAGATATTGGAAGTGCAACTAATTACATATTCCACTCGATTTACTAAAGTTTGGGCAGCAAGCAGGGGCTAGCTTCACATGGGTTTTTCTCTGCTGTTAAAACAATTAAAAAATAAATAATAAAAAATTAGTGACAGAGTCTCGAAGGCAGCGCTTTCTTTAACTTTCTTTAGCAGCAGACAAAGCAGATAGATGGAAGCACAAGCCTCAAACACATGATGGAAGAATGTTTACCATCTGAAAAACCTTCATTAAATTCTCAGAATGTGAAAAGATGAGGCACAAAATATGTGCCTTCAAAGTCCTGTTTATGGTGAGAAAGAACTTCATTTATTAACCCAGCTACCTTCTCATTAGTGCACTTTGCGAGCATGCAGGTAATAGGCTGGGCTACACAGTTGTGGCCCTCTGCACTTAATAAAAGTAATAAATGTAAAATCTTAATAAAAAGTAGATTATTTTCCTCACCAATATACGTAAATATAATATGCATTTGCATTGATTCAAAACATGAAAAGCTCAAGTGTTCTGCAATATGATCCTTGATCATTCTTATTTTTTATTTTATGTTTATTCGTTGAAAGGACTTTTCACACAAAATAAAATTATGGATGTGATTTATAATGCCCTGAACACAGGTGAACTGGATCCACCAAGTACTACCAACAGCGATGAAGTTAGCATTTTTTGGCCAATGCAACTTAAGAAAGTGTGTGTGTGTGTGTGTGTGTGTGTGTGTGTGTGTGTGTGTTTGTATGTGTGTGTTGAATGCTCACTAGCTACATTGTCCTCTGCTTGTCATCACACTTAGCACATTACTGGACATCCCAGAGGAATGTGCTCTGTTGCATTTACAGCAGCTCTGCCCAAGGTGAAGAGAGAGACTAGAGAGCTAGAGAGAGTGTGTGTTGGTGTTCCTTTTGACACACATCCCAGACGCCCAGACATCTTATTTATCCCCGGGCTACTGTGTGTAATTTGCTGTGCTCTGATTGGCTCACTCATGCATGATTACTGCACACTCATCACTCATTATTTACCATACGATTCAACATTCAGAATTACTCTACTGTCACTATCAGACACACCTACACACCATTTCAACCAGAAGAGGATCATTTCTCTGAGAAAAAAACATTTTTCTTTTCTCCTTCTTCCTCTGTTCATTTCTTTCACTCTCTCTCTCTCACCTTGTCTCTTTCTTTTTCCCTTTCTGTCTCCTAGTCTCTCTCTCTTCTTTCTATCTTTCTCTCTTTCCTTTTCCCTTCTCTCTCTTTCTCTTTTTCCTCACTCT